TCGCTAGCAGGTTGGAGGCCATCGCTAGCAGGTTGGAGGCCATCGCTGGCAGGTTGGAGGCCATCGCTAGCAGGTTGGAGGCCATCGCTAGCAGGTTGGAGGCCATCGCTAGCAGGTTGGAGGCCATCGCTAGCAGGTTGGAGGTCATCGCTAGCAGGTTGGAGGCCATCACTAGCAGGTTGGAGGCCATCGCTAGCAGGTTGGAGGCCATCGCTAGCAGGTTGGAGGCCATCCCTAGCAGGTTGGAGGCCATCACTAGCAGGTTGGAGGCCATCGGTAGTAGGTTGGAGGCCATTGCTACTAGGCCTGGTGTGGCCAAGGCGCCGCTCTTCCTCCATGACTTTTCGCTTTGGCCGATCAGAGCCGTCCTGAGTGGCCCATTTTGCTTTATGGCAAAGAGAACCACACTTACTTCGGTGAAACCTCAATGAACTGGGAGCTCTAGGAAGAATGAGCTTTACAAACACATCATATGTTGTGGACCTCCTGTGAAACAGTTCATACTGCAAGGCGAGCAGTGGCACTACGCCAACGTGGCAAGCTGAAAAAGACGCAATATGTAAGTTGATCTTGCTGGCAAGCGTATTTGATAAAAAGGCTGAAGTTTATTCAATCCATGGAAAACTAGAACAACCCAAAGCCGAGCTCCTCTTCTACATTTGGGGAAGATGGCACTTGAAGGGTCGTATTGAAAACAATTTGACAACTAAAAGTATTCCCCAAATAAAAATACACGAATTTAGAGCTCAGCAACCGCCACAAGAATTCAATGCACCACTGGCACCGGTTCATGTCTTTACTGTTGGCTACAAACATCTGACCACGAACAATAAGAACCTTTCCTTGACAATCACAGCATGCGCTTAAGACAAACCAACTGCACAGAGCTCCACCAACGGTTGGGGCCATGTGCTGTTGCGTTGTTGCACGTGTCGGCATTCAAAGTGAGTTCCTCACTGCATTAGTAAGTAGCTTTTGGACTTAAAAAGTCAACCTATGAAAAACGAAGAACAAAGATTGAGGCGTCCTTCAAAACATCAAGTCTATTTGAGACTTATTTTTGTTGAAGAAACTGTTTCTTTTGCAACAAACTCTTTTTCTTATCCAACGCTAGCAACGTACTAAAATGATAATCTGTTTAGAATGCAAATTAACAATTAGTAACAAGAAGCTACTAGTAGCTCCTGGCCTTACTACTAGGAACAAGAAGCCACTAGTAGCAAACGGCATCGCTATTAGTAACAAAAAGCTACTAGTAG